TTTTAGAGGTTTTTGCTATAGGGCACGTGCACTCACCAGACAGACAGAGAGAAACAGAGAGACAGAATGCGAGAAATCACCCCCCAGGGGGGATGGCCACGCTACAATCCCTTCTCCTCCATTTTCCTCTCGGGGTCTTGGGCATGCACGCACACACGCCCGGCGTGAGTTTAAGCCACTGGGTCCAGAATGTGAACTGCAGTCGACTACATTGGGAGTCCAGTTACATAGCCATTATGTTAACTGCTGGTCCCAGCAAGAGCATATTTTTTGAGACTCTTATTCTAGCTTTTTTTTCCGTCACAGGTCTGTATCAAGTCTGGGTCCAGTGTTCCTTTCCAAACTGTGAGAAATGGAGGCGGCTGCCTGGGAACATTGACCCTTCAGTTCTCCCAAATAATTGGTCCTGTGATCAGAATACAGGTAGAAAGGAATGGAATTTTTTTTTCAAGTTTTCTTGTTCCTCTCTTTCTTTCTCTACATTTTTCCTTTAGATTATATGTGACATAAGTATAGTTAGCACTCAAGGGGTCCTTGTAGTGCTTAGGAGAGGACTGACTTCCTGTCATATGGAGATAAATTTGGGCAAATCATGCTGGAGGAATATACCCTATAGATTATGCTGTGGAGAAGGGCCTGATATCTGTGTGTATATACTGAGTGGATTCCATTTTCCTCAGTATTAGTCTGGTTCTGTCAATGTTGCTTAGAATATTGATACTGAGTTGGTAGATCAGGATGGATATGGGCTCTATAAGGAAAAGCAGGTGACAGATATTGAGTGAGCTTAGAATTCTAGAATATTTGAGATGGTTGGGTTGTCAGAAAAGTCGTGATGTATTTTTCTATGTGTTTCTATGCAAAAATACATCATGACTTTTCCAATGACCCAGTACTTGGAAGACATTATGATAATCTAATCCAGCCCAATTATTTTAGATGAGAAAACCAAGTCTCAGAGAAATTACCATCATGATGTTCCATAGATGGAAGGAGAGCCAGATACCGGGATGTAAGCAGGAGTTTAGAATCTCTTTCTGTAGAGCATAAGGAGGCAGTAATCCCTTATAAGTCTACTGCTCCCAGCACTAGCTGCATTGCCACCATCAGTCTTTTCTTTCTTTCCTTTTTTAATGATTTTTTTTTTGTTAGAGACCCCACAGAGAGAGAGAGAGAGAACAAGAGAGAAAGCACTCCCCAGTGGGGTGTGGTCATGCCAAAATCCTATTTCCTCCATTTTTCCATCTTGTCAGGATTTTGGGCACACATGCATACATGCCCAGTGTGTCTCTCAAGCTGCTGTGCCCAGGACTTGAATCCCACTGAACCATAAAGGATCTGGCTCCCTAAGTGTAGTGCCCAACTGCTGCAACATGGCGCCAGCCCCACCTCCAAAAATCTTTACTATTTCTCCTCCATGAACTTTTGGTCCCACCTACTGCATGTCCTAGTTCTTTCTTGTTCTCTCCTCAGCCCTCATCTAGATTCTCACCTTATGATTCTTTTCTTGTCCCTTCATTTTTTCTCTCTTTTTGCAGACTTGGAATATAATCACTGTGATATTCCTGAGGAGACCTGGATAGGGCACGAGAGTGATGTGGCCTATGCCTCCTACGTCCCAGGATCCATCATCTGGGCCAAGCAGTATGGTTATCCTTGGTAGGGCATCTTGACATAGTGAGAGCATCCTTTATGAATTTGGCAGTGGTAGATTCAAGCAGGGAGGAAGGAAATGGAAAGCATTTGTAATGAAAATTGCATTTGCCTTAGAAAGAACATATGAGTGAGTAGGAGTAAGGGAGAAGATAAAATACCAAGCTTAGAGGCTTAGAAAGAAATGTTTTCTTTCTTTCTTTCTTTCTTTCTTTTTCTTTTCTTTTCTTTTTTTTTTCTTTTTTTTTTTTTTGGCGGGTTTTTTTGCTTTTGGGTGTGTGTGCTCGCCAGAAAGAGACAGAGAGACAGAAAGCGAGAAACCACTCCCCAGGGGGGATGGCCATGCCACAATCCCTTCTCCTCCATTCTCTTCTCGGGATCCTGGGCATGCACGCACATGTACCCGACAAGAATTGAAGCCACCGGGTCCAGGACTCGAACTGAAGTTGACTACGTGAGAGTCCAGCGACATAGCCATTATGCCAACTGTTGGTCCCCGAAAGAGGTGTTTTCTGAAGTTTCAGGGTGGAGGTGGTATGTCCCTGGAAAAAGGGGGTCTCACAATGCTACCCTGAGTGGATAGAAAGAAAAGGTGTTTTAAATAGTGAGATGCATCTGAGGTATTTTTAAATAGTGAGATGTGAGAGACATGCAAAGTAAAAAGAACAAGAAAAGGTAGGATAGTTTCTTCTTTGAATATGTTCCTAGTCAGGAAATTCTGTCCTAACGGTTGCAGGAAGGCCTGAAAGGAGAAGATTCCTTTACTAGGAAGATTCTGAGATTTTCTGTATATTGATGAAAGTCACTTCAGTCATTTAGTAGTGACCACTGGAGGGATGGATGGGGAGGGGTATTCTATATTTTGAATCTTTTGTTTGCAAAACATATTGCCTTTTTCTGTACACGTACACTGATGAGGTTGTATTCTGTTCACATAACCCTTCTCTTTTGTCTCCTACACCCATATATCTTTTCCAGGTGGCCAGGCATAATAGAATCTGATCCTGACCTGGGAGAATATTTTCTTTTTGCTTCTCACCTCGATTCACTGCCGGTAAGTTTCTTTGTTCAGAGTAGGGAGCTCAGGCCAAAGTATTAAACAAAACTATCCTAACAAATGTTCAGAGTTAGAAAGAGACATGACCAGCATATATGAGTGGAAATAGTTAACTAGGATAACACAGAGATAACTACTCATATACACAAGAAAACTTGTATCTAAGTAAATATTTATCCATTCTTATTTTAGAGAGATTCTTTGCTATAGGATGCGTGCACTCGCTGGAGAGACAGAGAGAAAAAAATCGAGAAATCAGTCCCTGGGGGAGATGGCCACACCACAGTCCCCTCCCCTCCCTTCTCCTCTAGGGACTTTGGGCATACACACACACGTGCTTGGAGTGAGTTTGATGCTGCCGGGTCCGGGACTCAAACAACTGCTGACTATGTGGGAATCCAACAACATAACCATTATACTATCTGGTGGTCCCAATATTTATCCATTATTAGGTATTTATGGTTTTGATAAATATGCTTTGGCTAGGCTTCTGGAGGTCAGAACAAAAGAACAACGGAATGAAACAGGGTAGGTGGGTCAGGCTTCAGGGAACATATGAGGACTAGCATCTCCTGCTTTGTGAATTTTCCATTCGCCCTTTGCCTTTTCTGGCTAGAGGAGTAAATCAGGAGGCCAAATAGTACTGTCTTTTATTTCAGTCTAAGTACCACGTGACATTTTTTGGAGAAACAGTTTCTCGTGCTTGGATTCCAGTCACCATGCTAAAGAACTTCCAGGAGCTGTCCCTGGAGTTAGCCAGAGTGGTGAGCAAACCTTGGGGGTCTGTTGTGCTATGAGGAACTAGAAAGCAAAATCTTCCCTTTATTAAACCTGATTTTCTCCCAGGGAAAGCTTCGTCAGGAGAAAACCTCAGGTCTTACCAGGTGTGTCAAGGGTGAGGTTATTTGTGAAGGACTTTTCTTTCTACTAGTTATTGTGGTGGGGTAATGATTTTTTTCCTTTTTTTTTTTTAGTTTTTAATTTTTGCTATAAGATGCATGTGCTTGTTGGAGACAGAGAGAGGGAAAGTGAGTAATCACCCCCCAAGGAAGATATCCATGTTGCAATACCTTCTCCTCTAGGGATTTTGGGCATGCACACATATGTGCCCAGTGTGATTTTCAAGCCACTGGGTCTGAGACTCAAACTGTAGAGTTGGACATGTAGGATCCAGTGCCTCATCCTCCATGCCACCTGCTGACCCAGGCCTTCTTATTTTTGTTTTTACCAGAAGGTATGTGTGCTTGCCAGAGAAAGACAAAGAAACAGAGAGGGAGATGGAGAAAGTACCCACCCACCCATGGGGAATGGATATACCACAATCCCTTCTCCTCCATTTCTCTGTCCTGTTGGGATTTGTGGCATACACATGCTAGCATGTTTTTTAGGCCTCTGGATCAAGATTCAAACTGTGTAGTAGGCCATGTGGGATCTAGCTCCCTAACCACTAGACCATGGGGCTAGCCTAAAGGGTATCTTCCTCAGACCATGGTTTTTTGAAATCTAGCCTAAGCAGTTGTGGAAGACATGAGGGCACAGGTTAACTCAGGGTTTCTCAGACTCAACACTATTGTTATTTTGGGCCAGGTAATTCTTTTTGTAGTGGAGGGCTATCCTGTGTATTGTAGGATGTTTAGCAGCATGTAGCCAATAGCACCCACCCCACTCCACCCTAACCCTGCCCCTATCCCTGGTTGTGACAAAAAACTGTCTTTAGACATTGCCGAATGTCTTCTGGGGAGCAATATCTCCCCCAGTTAAAAACCGCTGGATTAACAAAATCATATATCCTATATTACTTTATGTTTGACTGGCCTTACAAATGAGCAGAGGCCTAGCAGCTCAGGGCCTTAGAAAATCAAGCAATGGGTATTAAATCAAGCAGTTGAATCTAAAGGAATTTAAGAGGAGTTTAAAAATGGAGTCATCTTTAATTTTCTCTTTTCATATTTCCATGAGATTCACTTTGGAAAGGAGCAAAGTGTTGGTTGAAAATATTGCTAGGAATAGTGAGATGTTTATTAAGGGGAAGGGACTTGTGTCTGAGACCAAAAGATTAACAATAGGAATATCATCTCAATACCAGTAATTGTAAATAAATGTGGTTAAAGATGTCTGGCAAGTAGCAGTATGTTGGTGTCACTTCCCTATTATTTATTATTGACTCTAATCTTTAAGTCAGTATTTATTGATCTCAATCTTTTTCCATTTTAGAAAAAGTACAGAAACAAGGAATGTTGCCACAAACTGGGGGCAGCCTTAATGATGGCTCAAGAGGCAGAACAGATCAGCATTCAGGTGGGAGAGTTTCAGACCATATACATGCTCTTTTTTGTGACTTGGACACAAAGCAAACCATATACCTACTTCCCACTGCAGAAAACCAGCCCTTTTCCATTATGCAGTCTTTATCCTAGAACTACTCTTTTCTTAAAAACCAGAAACCAAATAAAAAACCTACTCTTTTCTTCCCAGGCCACGTTCCCTTGACTCATTCATTCCTTTCCCTATCCTTGGACAAATGGTATCCTCTGTCAGCCCAGATAAAGATAGTTTGTGATCGGGGCAACCTATCTCCCTACTTAACTTCCAGTCTCTGACATGTGCTCCCAAACCTCTTTTTTATTTAGAATCAGTTTTTACCTTCAAATTCTACCAATGGGGACGGGGTAGGGGGTAGGATGGAAAATGACAGTTATTTGTTGAATTATCAATATACTGGAAAAAGATTATATTTAATTTCTGTAAAAGCCCAGGTAAATCTAATGTGAAAATGGTATGGAAAATGAATATTAATTTCTTTATAACTCAAATCTAGAATATAAATAATAAAGACTATCCCTGGGAGAGTAGCGGATGATGTTTAAACTAAAATCTTGGTTCCCTCAGGAGCGGGTTAATTTATTTGGTTTCCGGAGTCGATACAACAGATCTGACTGTAGTGAGGAAGGAAAAGGTAGGATAAAATGGTGGGTGAGGGCTGGAGAGGGAAGGTAGAGATTCTTTTATGAGAGCAGCAACCCAAGTTTTTATTTTATGTTCCACATCATTTCTCTAGTTCTGGACTGTATACTAGGAGGCTTTTGTGAATATCACCGACCCAATATCAAGGGTGGATGGACAGATGGGCGGGGAGGGTGTCAGAGGAAGAGTGTAATATATTGAATGATGATGGACTTTGAAAAGGATGAGACCATGATAATGTGGGATCACATTTTGTGGAGAAAATACTACTTGGACACAGAAGACAGAAGACAGATTCTCTGAGATCAGCTCTATTAACTCATCAGCTATTTTACTAGATCAATTATCTAGACTTTCCTTTGTTTTCTTGTTCTAGATTTAATGCTCTCTGGGGATAACAAGCCAGATTCCTGCTTGGAGAAAGAGGAAGAGGAGTCAGTGAAGGAGAAGGAGGAAAAAAAGAAAGAGAAAAAAGTAAGATTAGCCTTAAATACTGGTTTAGGTAAGGATATTGAGGTTTCCTCTCAGGATATTCTGGTAAAGATCTGGTTAGCCTGGACTTAAATTTACTAAGGAACCATCCTGTCCTTGACTCAGGCTAGCCTTTTTTATTTTTTAATTTTTGGAGAGGTTTTTGCTATAGGGCATGTACGCTCTCCAGAAAGACAGAGAGAGACAGACAGAAAGCGAGAAATCACCCCCCAGCGGGTATGGTCATGCCACAATCCCTTCTCCTCCATTCTCCTCTTGGGATCTTGGACCCACACGCACCCATGCCCGGTGTGAGTTTAAGCCACCGGGTCCAGGACTTGAACTGCAGTGGACTACATGGGAGTTCAGTGACATAGCCATTATGCCAACTGCTGGTCCCAGACTCAGGCTAGCCTCGATTGACTGGTTTGTCTTACTTTTCAGGAGTTTCCAGAGAAGGATAGTTTACTCTTTCATCATTATTCTAATTAATTTTTCATGTCTCTAGGAATTTCTTTCTTGATTATAATCTCAGTTCCTACTGTTTTTCTTCGGTTCTTCTGGAACAATTTCAGAGAATAGCAGGTTGCTTCTGTTCACTCTCTTTTTTTGAGCCTATGTGGACACTTAGGACATTCATTCACTTGTTTTCTTTTCTTTTCTTTTCTTTTCTTTTCTTTTCTTTTCTTTCTTTCTTTCTTTCTTTCTTCCTTCCTTCCTTCCTTCCTTCCTTTCTTCCTTTCTTCCTTTCTTTCTTTCTTTCTTTCTTTCTTTCTTTTTTTCAAAGAGGTTTTTGCTACAGGGCATGTGCACGAGCCAGAGAGCCAGAGAAATAGAAAGCGAGAAATCACCCCCAAGGGGGGATGGCCACACAATCCCTTCTCCTCCGTTCTCCTTTTGGGATCTTGGGCATGCACACCCACGTGCCCGATGTGAGTTCAAGCCACCAGGTCCAGGACTCGAACTGTGGTCAACTACATGGGAGTCCAGCAACATAGCCGTTATGCTAACTGCTGGTCCTTATTCACTTGTTTTCTTAGTGTCCCCTTTCCAGGTTAATGAAATACAGATTTTTTTCTCTCTCTCTTTGTCTCTTTCTCTTTCATGATCTTCCTCTCTCACTCTTTTTTGCCAGAGGGTATATGTGTTTACCAGAGAGAAAGACAGAAAGAGTAAAAATAAGAAAAAAACCCTCCTATGGGGAATGGTCATGCCATAGTCACTTCTCCTCCATTTATCCCTGCTTTTGAGATTTTGGGCATTCATACACACATGCCTGGTATGTTTCTCAAGCTGCTGAGTCTGGGACTTGAACTGTGCAATTGACCATGTGGGATCCACCTACCTTAACCACCATGCCAGGGCTGGCCTTCAATTTCTCTCCTTTTTTATCTTAATAATTGTTTTATTTACTTAAATTTGACCAAAGAGGGACAGAATGAGAGAGAGCAAGAGAGACGGAAAGTGAGAAAGCAAGGCACCAGGTTCAGGATTTGAACTGTGGTCGGCCATGTGGGATTCTAGCATCCTTAACCACCATGCCACCTGCCGGTCCCTCAATTTCTCTTTTAATTTACCAGTCTTTTCAAACTTGTGGCCTAGCTTTATTTCCTTCTTTTATGCCTAAATCTTTGCATTGACAAATACCAATCAGAATAGGAACATGACCATACATTTTTCTCTGTGCTGCCATAGATTTAAACAATATCAGACACAAAACCTAGGTTGATGCCTTAAAGCCCACTCATTATTCTGCAGCATTCTTCTATATTAAAAATAGTTATGTGACTTAATTTATCGTTCTCTTATTTTCTCTCCCATCCTCAGGACCCAGTTTTGCCCCATCCCAAACCAGCCAAAAGACAGACCAAAAAACCCAAGCAAAGTAAGTAAAAAACCCAAGCAAGGTAAGTAAACCTGTTGGAAATAGGCTTTCCCACAGTTTAGGCAGGGCAGAGGCAGAGTGAGGGGTCTGCACGTAAATGGATCTTACTGATTGTCTCAGCTTCAGAGCTTGAGTAAACAGGCAAGACTTACAGTGTCAGCAGGGAAGCTATAGCTTCCACACTTCTGTATCCTGAATTATAAAATTTTAATTAATTTTTTTGGAGAGTTTTTTTTTTTTTTTGCTATAGGGCATATGCGCTTGCCAGAAAGAGAGAGAGAGAGACAGAGAGACAGAAAGCAAGAAATCACCCCCCAGGGGGGATGGCCATGCTCCAACCCCTTCTCCTTCACTCTCCTCTTGGGATCTTGGGCACACATGCACGTGCGCCCAGCGTGAGTTTAAGCCACCAGGTCTGGGACTTGAACCGCAGTTGACTACATGGGAGTACAGTGACATAGCCATTATGCCAACTCCTGGTCCCAAATTTTAATTAATTTAAAAAGAATTATTTAATTTTATTTATTATTTTAAAATTTGCTATAGGACATGTATGCTTATCAGAGAGAGACAGTCAGAGAGAAAGTGAGAAAGCAAGACTCCTGGTCTAGAACTTGAACTGCAGTAGGCCATGTGGGAGTTCAGTACTTCAGCCACCACACCACATACTGGTCCCTAAAAATCTTGAAAATGGAAGGTTTTAAATTCTTAGCTAAGAAGGATAATTTCCTGGAGAAGTCAGGCTCTGAGGAGAATGGTAAAGATAAGGAGTTTAAAAATGAATGAATGAAAAAATATGAATATAATTTGAGAACTTGAAACCACTGAGATTACTCACTGGATTGAAAATAAGCAGAAGATGTAGGAAGTCCAGCTGCTCTTGCTAAACTGTCAGAGAGAATTAAATAAATTTCCTTCATGATTGGGGTTGATTCAGGCATGGCAGATGGACAAGATGGGATCCTGCAAGGGAAGATGATGAAGAGATCTCTGGACAGTGAATCTGCAGCTCCTATACCCATAAAAAGAAGGAACAAAGGACAAGGAAATTCAGATTCTGACCAGCCAGGTAAGACTCATGGCCCAAAAAACTATGGGGAATAAGGTTCATGTTGCATCTCCCCTCCTTGGATCATTTCTTAATAACTCTATAGCTTTTCATTACTTTAAAGAAAAAATTAAATTAGAATGAAAGTGCATATCTTAGACTATACAACTGATATAAACATAATAATCATTGAGTTGATTTGATCTAGGAACAGAAAAATAGTAGAGAAAAAGGAACTAATATTTACTGAATATTGCCATGAGCTGGCTACTAGGTACTTCTATGTTTGTTCCTTTTCATTCTTTCAATAGCACAATGACTGGATTTATTTGCTGTTTTACAGGTAAGTAAATTGAGGCTGAAAGGGTTTAGAATTTGTTCAGAATCTTTATTTAGCATATGGCTGATCCATAATCTGAATCCAGGTCTTTCTGACCCCCAAAGCCCATATTCTTTGGGCTGAGAAAGGTCATCTTTTCCAGAGATTTCTTGGGATTAGGAATTTAGGAGTTTGTCTTGGTAAGGACAGACCTAATAGGACTTCCAACTTTGTTACCTTTTCATGTAGGCCCTAAGAAAAAATTTAAAGCTCCCCAAAGCAAGGCCTCAGCAACAAGCTTATCGGAGAAAAAAGAAATGAGAATGGTAGCAAAGGACCTGACCCTACCAGCGTGTCACAGAGCCTGTCCCTCAGGTGGGAATGAAGTGCCTAGACCCAAGGAACCACTGACTCAGGAGGCTGGAAGTGTCCCCACTGAAGATGAAGCCTCCAGTGACCTGGACCTGGACCAACTCATGGAAGATGTTGGGAGAGAGCTGGAACAGAGAGAGGAGCTGAAGCACAGAGATGATGAAGAGGAGTTTGCGGTGGCCTTCTTTGAGGAATAATTAATGCCTGTGCCATTTCTGTTCTCACTCCCCTTCTCCGGAGTGCAGGAGGGAAAAACTATAAGTAAGGTACCTGAGAAGTTGATAAGTATTGTTAAGTGGCAATGAGACTCAAGTCAGAGTTATGAAGTTTACGAGTTAATAAAGCAAGTTACTGGTTTGATTGATTTGGTTTGTCTCTGAGCACACGCTTCTTTTTGGCTTCTGTCCCACCTGTTTCACTGAGCACATCATTATACCTGATGGGGGGCCTGCACAGTAGCACAGTATAGGAATATAGAGAAAGCAGTGAGACTGAGTCCTGGGAGAGCATCAAGAAAGATTTGGAACCAGCAGTTAGCGTAATGGCTATGTTGCTGGACTCCCACGTAGTTGACCGCGGTTCGTGTCCCGGACCCGGTGGCTTAAAACTCACACCGGGCGCGTGTGCGTGTGTGCCCAAGAGCCTGAGAGGAGAATGGAGGAGAAGGGATTACGGCGTGACCATCCCCCCTGGGGGGGGATTTCTCGCTTTCTGTCTCTGTCTCTCTCTGGCAAGCGCACGCGCCCTATAGCAAAAATCTCTCCAAAAAAAAAAAAAAAGAAAGAAAGATCTAGTCACCCACCATATCGCCCATGCTCATACCATACCCCCAGCCCCTCCCCAAAGGTATCTTTTTTACTTACCATCTAACCCATGGTCTTGTCAGACCTCAGCCCCTCCCTAACAGTGCCCTCACTTTCTTTTAGACAATAAGAAACATGACCAGCAGTTAGATAAGGCCTCCTCTAAAGAATCCAGCCCAAACTAGTCAGAACTCAGATGGCAGCTGGACCAACTGCTGCCTAATCTCCAAGCTCATTATATTCTCATTGTCCTGTATTGGCACGCTACATGACACACCTTCCAGTGCCATGATAGTTGACAATCCCTGTGATTGCAACCGTAAATGACCTTATAGGGAGAAAAAGGCAGGTTTTAGAATTCTGGGAAGTCTATGCCTTTTCCAGGAAAGGCTCTGAATATTCTTCTCCTCTATTATCCTGTTTTGTTCCCTCATTAGCCCCTTTGCTATACCTTAAACTGCCCAGCTCAAGATGAGGGAGAAGGTGATTTGCAAGCTGGGCTCCCACTTCTCCATTCCTTGGCCATTGAATAAAGTTTATGCTATGGCACTTAGTTTTAGTCTTGTAAATTGACTATGACACTAAACAGCAAAAGACTCCATTTCTGGGCATAAATGAAAATTGGTACTAATTTGGGTTCAAGTCCTGGCTCAGTTAATTGTTAGGTGACTATGGCCTTGGGAAAAACCATTCTAATTCTTATTTTCTTGACTCCAGTGAGTATATCATCTATTTAGAATTGATGATGTTTCAATAAGGTGTAATATATAAAGCACTTCACACAACACTATGTCACAATGTTACTTTAAATGATAAGGGAAGATTACAGGAAAATTATAGGACTGGCTACCAGAGTTTGGGTATTTATGGTCCCTTGCCTGAGGCATTCACTGAAAATAAGTACTAGAGAAGGGGTCTTGGATGTGAGTTGTCTGTTAAGAGTCTAGTTTTATTGGGAGGGTCAGGAGTTGAAGGTAATATCCATTTTCTCTTTAGATGCAGTCAAGTAAATTCTCTGGGTACTTTTATTTTTGTGAGGACAGGCTAGGAAGTTGAGAGAGAATTGGAGTGCGTGGCTGTTTCTCTTGGTTCCTTTGTGGTCTTCAACACTTTCACTTCTGTGTCATTGGCATCTGGCTTTGGTGATTGCTGGCAGTTGTGATTTTTCCTATAGTAAGCGTAGTATATTCTAAGAAGGTCATCATTCAGACCCATTCATTAAGCCTTTAAGACAGAGTATACCGTTTCTTCTTGAAGGTTCACCTGTGGATGGTAGCAGCGGGGTGGTTCAAGAGAGGTCGGGCTGGAGAGAGCCAGGGAGGCATAGACAATGCCGTCATCCTAGGTAAGAACCAAAAGGAAAAAGGGTTAGACAGTGGAGGTGGAGCTATACCCATCTTAAAGCAACAATCCTGCAACTTGAGGGCCCTGCCCATACATAGTCCCTCCTCCTCCACCTTGCTTTCACCCAGCTTCCCTTTAATTTCATCAGACCTTAGTCTGAGCTGCTTACCTTGGGGTTCAGTCTGGGGTCAGTGTGTTGTCCTAGGGAGAAAAATAAAGGTGCACAGAGACCAGCCAAGAGAAACAGGAAGGGGGTTCTTGTGGTTAGTTGATCTGCCAAGTTTGGACCAGGGTCACATGGGGGTCATGGGGAGAGGAAAGACAGAGGGGACACCTCCATCGTAGCAGGCATTGGGACAGCAGGAAGGGCCACAGGTAAGGACTGGGGAACGATGGGGAGGACGACTTGCCTTTATTCTCAAGATTCTCATATTTCTCCTCAGTGTTCTGGAAGGGGTCCCTGTATGGGAGCAAGAGGAAGAGAAATATGTAAGAGGCTGGGCAGGAAAGAGTTAAGACAAGTGTGGGGGTTGGCTCTGGTTGAGGGGGACTCTACAAGCTCTGCTGGCAAACTCCTGGTGGGAAGGATGGGTTTGACTTTCCAGAAGGAGCGGCCTGGGAGCAGAACTAGAAGCAGTTTCAGCTGTGGCCCAGCAGAGGGCCCCCTAAGCTAACCAAAGGTGGATTGTTCTAGAGAAGCTGCTTGTCTTGGAAGTGGACAGAGAGAAGAGGTGGGAAGGGGCCCCTGTTCGTGCTCTCTGCTGGCACTGCCCTGGCTAAAGCGGGGAGTGTGGGAAGAAACGAAGAAGTGGATTTTAGGTGTTCTGGACAGGTGCTCAGGCTTGGTCCCTGGAGGAGAAGGGGCGAGGAGGGGTGGGAGGAAGGGCAGCTGATGAAAGATGGGGCAGGGAGAGAGAGGAGGGAGGCAGGCCTGAGCAAAATTATGGAAATGGCAAAAAATGTCAGGAGAGGAGGGAGGGTGAAGAGGAAGAGCCTTGGGAGAGCGAGAGGCAGGGCCAGTGGAGAAGAGGGAGGCAGAGGCTGAGAAGTCCCTCTGAGAGACTGGTGCTGGGGCAGCTGGAGGCAGAGGCAGCCTTTGGCCCCTGGCGCATCACCAGGAGACTAGGACAGATTGGACAGAGAGCAAGAAAGAAGAGAAAATATGATGAGCTGGACGTGTCTGGGAAGGAGCTGTTCAAGGCCGAGGGAAGCCAGGATGAACAGAAGAAAAAGGTTGGATGCTGGGATGAAAGGAGGAAGGTGAAGGTACAGGGAAAGATGCAGGGGAGACACTGGGGAAGAGTCTCTGAAGGGCTGCTCTGAAGCCCTGTTCTCCTTTTAGGCGATGGCGCCGAGGAGCTCAAGACGGGTCTCTTTAGAGGTCAGAGAAGAGGATGCACAGATCTTAAGTCGGGATGGAGAGCAGCTGTGAAAGACACCTGCTTCCTTGTGACACTTTGTGTTTCCAACCATGCCCCCCAGGTCCCCACTCCAGTTCCCCTTTGGAGGAAGAGCACTCACCCGGCTGAGGTTTTGGCTTTAGGCTGCAGACCTGTGGGGGGACAGCTGCGTGTCAGTGTGACATCCATGTCTCCTTCCCTCCTTCACTGCTGTGTCCTGCCCTGAGCCCATCCTTAGAGGGACCAGAGCAGCAGGGCAGCTCTGCCCAAAGCAGTCAGCGAAGTCCTGGGACTCAGCCAGGCACTCAGTGGGCGCTGCAGGCTGGCCGGCACCTGTCCTCCCTAATGTCCTCAACAGCATGTCCTAAGACAAGCTCTTCTTGGTCCCACAGTCCATCATC